CGGAGAGTCGCCTATGTCTGACGGGCAAGAAGCTGACGTACCAAACCAGCCCTCTTCTCTATTGCAGAAAGTCGTGGACAGCCGAGAGTTGGAGAGGCGCAGCACAGGTGGAACTAGAACTTGGAGGTGAAGCACGGTCCCGCCAGCATCCAATACGCGGACGGTCGGTTACGCAGCTCAGCGTTGTTCAGCGCCGGCCAGGTGTCGAGGCGGGGCAGGCTGGGCAGCTAAGGTACCTGACTGACTGGCACTGCAGCCTGGGGAGGGGAGGGGACGAGGGGGAACGAGACGAGTGGAGGGCGGGTCAACCGTCAGAGCCAGCGAACGGAGTACGGAGTACAGTAACACACTGTGCTCCGAAGGTGCTTGCCGCTTTCGCTCTCCGCTTCGGGCCTCTGCACTGCTCTAGTGGGGCAGCTTGGGCGTGGCAGGCGTCGTCCCCCGCCGAGTGGAATTATTCACATATGTAATTATACCGCATAAATCTCGCGACAGATGACGCAACTCGAGCCTTTCCCCCCTACAGTCATCAACCAATGCAGTAATCCCATCTCCTGCCCGCGGAGATCACTGTATCCGGCACAATCGCAGCCACCCCGAAAAATCACGACTTGCCCCTCCAAATAATACCCCTCCACCCGACGTATCGGAGACCCGTGGTTTATCAGCCGTTGGACTTGTCATTCCGCGATTCAACGACAGACCGAACCCGTCCCTCTTCTCAAGTGTGTTCCACAAGACTCTACGACTCCACGCGACTCCCTCCCACGGCTTCCTCTATCCGATTGACCCCAAATAAACCCTCGTCGCATCACCTCCAACAACCGACCATCCCAAGAGTTCGCGATCCGCCAAAAACACACAATGTCGACGATCACGGAGATCACCAGCCTTGCCGACTGGGAGAAGCACATTGCCTCCACCCCGCCTTCCACCCTCCACATCATCTCCTTCCATGCACCATGGGCCGCCCCATGCGCCCAGATGGCTACCGTCCTTTCGACCCTTGCCTCCGAATACCCCGTCACCAGCCCCCCGCAGACATCCTGGGTTTCCATAAACGCCGAAGAGCTCAGCGACATTAGCGAGACATACAACGTCACCGCCGTCCCCTTCCTCGTTCTTCTGCGCAACGGCCAAGTCCTGGAGACCGTCAGCGGTAGCAGCGCTGTCAAGGTCCGCAATGCGATCGAGACACACGCCAAGAAGCCCGCCGGCGCGGCTGCCACAGTAAACGGCAACCAAGGCGTCGAGAATGGTCCCAGCGCGATGCAGGTTGACGAGCCCGTCGACCCGGTCAAGGCCAAGGAGGAGTTGTTCAAGCGCCTGGCCGACCTTGTCAAGGCTGCGCCCGTCATGCTCTTCATGAAGGGTACCCCCAGCTCACCTCAGTGCGGCTTTTCAAGACAGCTTGTTGCCATCTTGAGAGAGCACTCGGTCAAGTACGGGTTCTTCAATATCTTGGCAGACGATGAGGTACGACAGGGCCTGAAGGAGTATGCCGAGTGGCCGACCTACCCTCAGCTCTGGGTTGATGGTGAGCTGGTTGGTGGCCTTGATATTGTAAGTTTGAGGTCTCAACAATCATGGCTGACTTACATATGCTGATATCATTCCCTCCCTAGGTCAAGGAAGAACTCTCCAACGATCCCGAGTTCTTTGGCCCGTACAGCATCAAGGCCAGTGCTGAGGCCGCTGCCTAAACCGCCTAGTTATCAACAACATCCTGCATATTCACGCCTGCCCGGTTCTCACCGTGTAAGACGTGACGATTCTCGTCGTCTTTACATACCCATTCACATTTGATTTACATCCTTGCCCGGCCATGCTGAAATCCAAAACCTAGCTGGTCTTTGGATGGGGCGACGATACAGTTTTGAGTGCGATCATGTCATTCGCCAAGCATCGTTTGAAGGGCTCCATGATATCTCCGATCTGGGAAAATTGACTGGGAAGAAGCATTTGGGAAACTGATAGAAAAGCATCTTTGGTCCAAGACACTACGAGTCCCAGCTCGGAGATTCGGCATGGCCGGAGTAATCATCGCTTCCAAGACACAGGCCCGGCACACAAAAGTTGACGCATTTGAAGGCATGAGAACATGAGATGAGGAGGCGATGTCAAAAGAAGCGGATACTTTCAAGTACCTTAGTTAAGGCTCGTCTTCACGTTATCGTTAATGACAATGGAATCATTCAAGGCAGTCTGCGGCTCCACTTCTGTGACATACCCTCTAGATACGGTGCTTCAAGTCTTTCGCCCCTGAATGAGAGGGGGCTCAAGTCTGACCGCCATGATACTTTAACAAAGTTTCCAAGTGCCTGCCTGACATAACGTCCATCATTTTGTACACCACGTTTCACTGCTGGGCCTCGATCAATACCAGACACCTCTTGGATGAGACCGGATTCTACTCAGCTGTATTTAACAGCCCAACCTGAGGAAACATCCATCTGACGACGTAAATCCCAGCTCCGTGGATTCCAAAGCTGAGAGGGATAGTGTCCGAGCTTAACAACAACGTAACCGCTGCAGCAACGTCTTCGTCTTCATGATACTTTTCGTCTCTTCAACATCTCATTGACACGCTCACAGGCCAGCCCAAATGAATTGTCCCTGGCTGTTGATACGCCAGTGAAGGTGAGTCGAATGCCATGGGATGGAGTCATTACATGAGGGAACCTCCTTCTTGGTTCCAGAACACGCTGCGATCCAGATCATGTCTCGTAAGATCTTGTGCGAGGACCTCATTCGCGTGGTCGGTAGACTTGTCTTATTACCTAGTCAACGATTGGGGTATGAGCCGATTATGGTAGTGGCAAGACCATAAGATGACGACGACCTCATATACAGTCACTCCCAAATGTGTAACCCAAAGAGCCGTTGTAGCACTATCCCAAACCTCGACGTAGGCATTACATCAGGCTCGGCACCCTGATGACTGTGGCCGTGGGTGATTCACCTTTCAGGTGAAGTTGCCTAGGCAACCCAAGGTATCTCACCTTCCGCCCATCACCTCAAGGTCAGATGAAAAAAAGGGCGCCCACACACGTGACCTACCGTCGAGAGAAAGCCTCCATATACCCCCTCAATTCCATTCTCGTCACCAGCACAGCAGGCGCCCTCTAGGCCGGGGGTCAGGTCAAACTGTGGCGTGGGTGGTAGAGTTGGTTAAAGGTCAATAATCAATTACGCCCATCTACAGCCTACTCGATGACAGGCTATCCGAGTTCGAATCCCAGCATGAGCACCAAGAGATGTAGCCCCCAGATTAACACCGGGGGGGTGACCTCTTTTTAGTTCAGGTAGTTTAGACACTTTGATATGCCCATTCTATGCAGGAGGGAAGGGGCAGCCAAGTCTGGAATCTCTTTTTTTTCTTTTTTTTCTTTTTTTTCGCCCCTTTACTTAGACTTCATGTTGGCACAATTGCCGCTATGTGGGAAAGAAGGCTCTACAGAATACCAAGCATGAACTTGGACTGTTTCTCATCAGACCTGCACTACCTTGAGTAAAGAAAGTAGTCAAACATCCTCCTACCCGCCAAGATAGACGGCACACGGAGCCCAGGAGTATCGGACCACAAGCCATACTTACTACCTATGCAATCTTCATCGAGAACAGATATCTACAACTCGTCCAAAGCACAGTCACCGCCAACCTCGTCTAGAAAATACCCTGTATAGTCTTCGTTTCTTCGGCACTGCGTTGAGGTAACGTGAGAGAGTTGTGATATGTTGCGTAAATTCACTGCTGATCTGACCCCTTTCCACTCCCATGGCCTAAATGGCTTCCCTGCACCATTTCGCAGTCATCCAGCAGCTTCAATATGTTTACTACTATCATATTCAAGCAACAGATTGAAAAATGCTTCTCCGCTGCTGAATCCGTTTGGCATGATCATGAACTTAAGTCTGAGAAAAGTCGGGCCAAACTGGCTGGACCCTCCCTACACTAAGTCCTGAAATCGGTTTGAAAGCTATATCATAGAAACATTCGACAGTGGGAAATCCTGAAAGTTGATTTACTCATATTGTCTACATGTAATCTCATGCCATTCCACCCCAATGACACCATGATTGAAGCTGCAAACAATGAGTTCATCCATTGTCCAACACCCAATCCCAACCCCTCCAAACTCAACCCCTCCAAACTCAACCCCCAACCCCCTATTCCCCTGGTAGACGTCTGCCCATCTCCTACATCACAACAACCAAAAGCACCGTAACAGCACCAAAAACAGCAGCCACATACCCACTCCCTTGCGTTGTCCTACACCCCGCATTAGGCACAAGCACAGCAGGCGACGTCGCCACCGCAAACGACCCACCACTCGGCGCCGCGGCACCAACACCGACCGCCGTCGCGAGAATCATGGACGTCCAGAGGGACGACGGCAGCGTGATGCTGGGGCCGATCTGGACGACGGGCGTCGCACCGGCGTCGACGCCGAGCTGGGGTTGAGGCGTGGGCACGATGACTCCCGTGGAGACGGAAGTGCTGGATTGCTTGTCTCCCGTGTTGCTGCCGCTGCCAGAGCCGGAACCGGTCTCACTATCGGACTCGGTGTCGGAGTCATCACCTGACCCCTTTCCTGAACCACTGCCGGAACCGCCGCTCTCCTCTCCGCTCTTGCCGCCGCTTCCGCTTCCGCTATCACCCCCCTTTTCGCTTTCCTTGCCTCCACCAGCAGTAGTGCTAGGCACAGGCGTCGCCGAACCCCCGCCAGCCGTGGCAGTAGCACTCTCCGTAGTCGACGCAGGGACATCAGATTTGACCGATTTCAGCGGCGCCCCGCCATCCGCAGGCAGGGTCCCCTTATACGGCAACGCGCCGCCCGAACTCACAGCAGACGCCGGCGCCGGCTCAGACGACTGAGGCTGAGGCTTCGTCACGGCCGTGTCGTTGCTCGGCCGTGTCGAGGGCGAGGGAGCGGCGATGGGTACGGGAGCTACGGCAGCGGGTTCGGTGACGGGGAGGGCGGGCAGGCCGGTCGGGGTGGCGCTGCTGCTGCTGTTGACTGCTGGGTTCGCGGCGCTCGGGAGGATGGGGGGCTCGCTTGCGGCTGGGGGCGCGGGGACAGTGGTGTTCTTTGGTATGGGGATGGTTACGATTGGTAGGGAGGGCGTGGTTGACGCTTCTGGCGTGATGCTAGTGCGGTTCGCTGGGACTTCTGCTGCTGGTTGAGTGGCGGCGGGCGCCTTGCTCTCGGCCGGCTGCTGGATCTGTTTTTAGTATGTGCTATGCTTTGGGACGATCCAGGGGAAACTTACCTCGGCGCTCGGAGCTGTCTGGTTCTTGGTTGGCGCAAGTGTCGGGAAAGCCGGGCCCGAGTCCGGAATCGTGGAGTAAATAGGGGTAGGAGTAACCTCGGCGTTCGCGGGCGCCGTCTGGTTCTTGGTGACCGAAAGGCTCGGGAACGCCGGGCCAGAGTCCGGGATCGTGGAGTAAATCGGCGTGGGCGTGACCTCAGCGCCGCCACCCGGGGGACCCGTCTGGTTCTTGGTCGCTGACAATGTTGGGAAAGACGCGGGCGCGGAGGCGGACTGGATAGTCGAATATATCGGCGTCGGGGTGGTCTCGGGGGCCGCTGGAGTTTGGTTCTTTTCGGCGATGCTCGTGAGCGGTTTCGAGGAGTTGCGAGGCACGGATTCATCGGGCACAGGGGCGGCTTTCTCGTCAGGGGTCGCGGGCTCCTTGGATCTGCCTCCCTCCTGTTTGGAAGGGGAGACTCCAGGCGCGGTGCCATTCAAGATGCCGTTCTTAGACTCGTCAGGCCTGATGAGAGCAGCTTCCGTAGGGGTAGCCTCCGCGACGGCGACGCCGGCGGGAATAGCATCAGGGGGCAAGACGCCAGAATACACAACCTTGGGGGGACCAGCAGCCGCGGTGACGATCTCCACCTGCGCCGGGTCCGCTCCGATTATCGTCTGGATTACGGGCTGCTGGGTAAGTTGGGTAATCTGGAACGATTCGGACACGACGACGGCCTGGACTGAGTCCGTAATGACGATGGCGAAGCTCTCAAAGGCCGTGATGGAGGCGCTGGGGTTCCAGTTCAGACGGCCGACGTTGTCGACTTGCACTGCAAGAAATTTTTGGTTAATTATCTAGTCCGGTAGATGTTCATATTGACCCGGGAACTTTACCTGCAATCTTCTCTGCAATGACTGACAAGTCCGTCTTGCCACTAGGAACCAGGTCGATATTGACAGGGGCCTGTAGGCCCGCCGTCTGCCACTCAACCTCGAATTGCTGGTTTGGCATCAAGACATCCCCGGCCCTCGGCTTCGAAATCTGCGCGTTGCATACCGAAACACCGAGGAAAAGCCCCAATGATGTTGTAAACCGCATCTTGTCTAGTTGATTGGTTTCTTGAGATGTTTTTGTCGAGTATAGATCGTGCCGAGTCCACCAAGAATAAGTAACCACGTGTCGAATATCGTAAGTTTTGAATTAGTGAAAATCGGCCAACTAGGGCTCGGGTATCGAAAGTCGAAAGGGCGGGCGTATAAAACGAACGGAATGCTTGAAGTGAAGCTGGCCTGCAGGATAGGTTGGAATAAAGAAGGGCGTTCAAACAAAAAAGTGAACAAGAGTTAGCAAATAGAATCGAAGACGCAACTCGAAAACAGCGTAACAAGAAGTGGATGAAGAAGCGGAAGATCAAGAAGGGAAGCAACAAAGAAGGGGGGAGTCACTTCGAGATCCTCGCTTCCCGGGCTGGGAAGGGTTTTGATGGGATGGATCTCTCTCTCTCCCTCGCGGCGCGTGTAAGTCCAACAACTCCTTGGACAGGGGGCCTCGTAGGCAAACCGCACCAAGTTCACCAGAACGTCATCCTAAGCTTAAGGATAAAAAGGCTGGGCAGGGGGGTGGTTGTCGACCACGTCTCATCGGCCGAGACTCGGTACGACGGGGGGCAGGACCACAAAGATGGAAAACCCCCTGATCCCATTCGATGGAATGGGCTTTTGCCAAGAACTACAATGGCTGCCCAGATGGCATAAGAAACGTTTGCGAGAGCGACACTAAGCCACTTGGGAAGACCTCGGCGGTAAGTGTGGAAGGAGGGGCGGTGATGGTGGATAAGGGGAGGATCTCGTGAATGGCCAAGGGTGGTTTCGCGATCCTGGGCTTTGCTTCATCTTTCTGCCGCTTTCCAGCTGGGCATTTCTCTTTCTTCACTAGCCGCTTGCTAGAGTGTGGCGCATTACGCAGATATTCAAGCGTAGACCCGTATTTCGACCACCATCACAATGGAGATTAAGCTCGTCGAATTCCTCATGGCTCCTGAGAAAGCTTTCGTCTCAACGATGGGTGGTTAAGCTCGTGTAAAGCTACAGGGGAAAGCCCAGCAAAACTTCAGACAACACCTCCTGTACTCCGTATTGAGCCAGTGAACCAAGCCATGGGCAGCAAGCACCTTGCTGTGTTTTCGTTCAATATCCAATCGTGATGAGCGGCGGGAACAAAGGGCCAATTCGTTCGAACCTCGAGGAAGAGGGAGGTTGAAAGTCGGGATGACATGGAAAGGGCTCGTGTAAAGCCTGCGGCTGAGACGTCTGTACCTGGCGCCGATCAAACCTAAAACCTCCCGCCCGGTGCAACGCGGAGAAAGTGGGACCGTCTTAGTATCTTTGCCTGGTTTTGCTGCACGACCACTAACAGGAGCGCACTGATCGCGGCCCCTGTCAACGTAATCCGGGCTTGCTGTGGGATGAACCGCCATGTATCACCATTCTTTCTCCGTGTTTGACGCTGTTCAGCCTGTGGACTCGAAGAGTCGAAGGCATTGGTTATTGACCATTGGGTAACGTATCTGCAATACAGACAAAAATTCTGGGTACACCATAAATAAGCCTGCCACCTTACCCATTATCTTAACACACTTGTTGACAAGCATATCCCAGCTCATTACGGAGACTCCCAAAGCCCTCATCAATGAATATTCATTCTTACCATGAAGCCCGTTACACAGTACCGGGTTGCAGAGAATTCTGCAGTGACAATCATTGACGTTTTAAGCAGATTTTTTTATTTTTTATTTTTTTTATAGCTCGGTGTTGTAGATCCTTAGCCATGCAAAAATGTGACGGCGCTGAGGTTTCCTGGGTGCAAAGATCATACAAGTCATTACGTGACGATTAGTTCCTCTTGCAGTTTACTTAACTTTTACCCAACACTTTGCCCCACGGTCTTGGTCACCTTCCGCCTCACAGGTATTACCTCACGGCACTAGGCTAACATGTAGTAGCCCTTGACCACAGGTCACGATAGAATATGAAGCCTGAGCTAGACTGATTCATTCCATTCTTTAACCATCCGTGTGAACTGTGATACCGTACAAGCCTTAGGCTCTTCGTCTCCAAACCCTCCTAAAAACAACTAACAAGTGGTCCCAACCAGGTTGACCGAGCCACCATGCCGCATTAAACATACACTGCCCTCCTTCTAAATACCCGTCTTTCAAGTATTACTAATACTTGGTATCCCAATCAAATTCCGGCTCAGGAGGCTCCTAAGCCCCACCCTCAGATTGATTCCCTGGCGTGTTGGTGTTTGACACACCGTGGAAGGCATCGCCAAACGCAGAGTCCTCCATCTCCATGTTCATATCCAGACCATCACCCATAGACCCGCCGTAGCCGGCCAGAGCGTCGCCGGCCGAGTCCAGGTCACCCAGCGAGCTAAAGCCGCCAGGAGTCTGGGTGTCTGCTGGCGTTCCGGCAGCAGACGGGGCCTTGACGGCAGGCTTGGCAGCCTCGTCCTCAGTTGCACCAGTGGCGGCGGCAGCGGCTCCGGCGGAGGGATCGGGCGTTGCACCTCCCTTAGGCACGACGACCCAATCACCGCTGCCGGTTCCTTGATCAGGCGCGGTGGAAGAGGCATCCTTGGAAGACTCTGTGTTGCCCATCGTGACGTCCTCTACCGCAGCAGCAGGAGCGCCGGTGGAAGCCTGCGCCTCGGTTTCTTCCTGGATGGTGGGGGGAACCGGTGCGGGCGACGGTGCATTTGCGTTGGCTGGGGTTCCTGCGTTTGAGTTCATGTGTGTTTGCGGTGTAGGGAAGTTGTTCAGAGGAGTTGAGTTGGCAGAGAATCCAGTGTGCATCTCGTCGAGGAGTCCTGCTGCAGTGCCTCCCATGTCGATATCCGAGTCGCCCACCATCACGCCGCTGTGGTTAGAGCCAGCCTGGGACGGCCGCCGTGATCCCGAGGCATTCGCGTCAGCACCAGCCGCCGGTGCGGGAGGAGAGCTCGCCGGCGGCGGGACTGGTGAAGGCTCCTTGACAGGTTCAGGGGCGGGCTCCTGGAAGCCACCATCTTGTATGCGGTGCACATTGTGGAGGACCTCAATGTGCCGGCCCAGGTTAGCCTCCACCTGAGCCACAATCTCGTCCACCTTCTTGTTGTGCTTCTGTGACCAAGGGCCAGAGTTATCGTCCGCATCGGTAGAGTAACCCTCCAGGCGCCACGGCTCTGGTCCGCGCTCCTGGACAGACTTTTTGACGTCCTTCTCCGCATCAACGAATATCGAACTTGCCTTGAGGCTTGCCAAGTTTTTTGCGTGCTCCGCCTTCATCTTCTCCATCTCAGCCTTGGTGGCGTCAAGATGCTCCTGGACCCGTTTTCTGAACTCATCAGCGAGGCCGGGCTCTAGCCGTCCAATATAAGGCTTTTGGGGCGGCTCAGTAAGGGCGTTTGCGCTCTGTGCCGAGAAGATGCCGTCAGTCAATGGTGCCAGCTCTCCCTTGAGACCAAGTCCGAGATCGGGAGGTGCAATCTGGCTAAGGCCGTAGGGCGAAGACACAATCTCCTCCATCCACTCGTGGTTTTGCTGATACCGCGCAAAGGAAATGTCTCTAGGGGTGAGATGGTCAAAGAGATCCTTCTCGAGTTCTTCGTCATCGTGCAGAGCCTCGGCATGAGCCAAAGCCTGTTGCTGCTGCTGGGCTTGCGCCTGCGCCTGTGCTTGTTGACGACCACGACGTCCTTGGGGACCCGCAGGGGGATAGGCCATCTGCTGCGGTACGCGCCGCGATTGAGCTGGCGGGTTGTACATCTGAGGCCGTCCGCCATTACGCGGGAACTGGATCGAGGGCCAACTCGCGCGATCGGAAAGCATAAAGTCCTTTCGTGCTATCTGTCCACACTTCTGGAGGTGGTTGCGAGTCCCCATGATATGCTGGGTCTCTTGTGACACGGGAATCAGGTTGACGGGGACACGGTCGGAGGGGTCGGAAGGGCCATAGTGAACGATCCAGAGACTGATGTCTGGTTGGGGCGCGTTCATTACCCCGGTCTGCGAGGGAACGAGGCGGAATCTGCGGCGAGCGTGCATGGCGACCTGCTCGCCAGGAATGAAAGCCGACTTGACAAAGTGGATTTCGAGAGACTGATATCAAAGTCAGATTATTGCTTCGACAATGCGACAAGATGCCTACCAATCCATTTCCAACATCCTGTCTATGGTACTGCTCGGGGCCACAGATCATTCCGTCGCTGGCGAAATTCGTTCCGAGCCTCTTGAGAGGTTGCCATGTAAGGTAGACCTGGCCGTCGCGGGGTCGGTCGAGGTAGGTCCAGAAGAAGGGAGCTTTGTCTTTCGCGACTTGGGGCGCCGCCATCAACCATTTCGTCACTTGGTTCAGATCGACGCGTGCCTGGTCGGCATAGTGGTTGGCGGATATGAGGTGAGCATGGCTCAGCTAGGGAACGGTCAGCGATGATTTTGGACTTTCGATGCTTAATCTAATGCTGGCTGCGGTGACCTACCAGCTCCTGGTCGATACCGTCACTCGGGTCTTGTGCCATGGCGGATCGCGACGTGGGATGCACGGTGCGATGTGGTTGAGGTGGATGCTGATGCACAGCTTTCGTCGCGCAGAGCAAGCGATTGCCTCTCTAGGCCGTGGTTGTATGTGAGGAGGTTAGTCGACAAAGAAATGGGAAGGATTGAGATGACGCGACAATTGGGGAAGCTGCGGTTGGTTGATGAATTGATTGACTTGCAGCTTGGTTCGCGGTCCCCAAATTTGTCGCGACGAGGCTGCGGCACCATGAGAGACCCTGGTAGGTAGACAGCCAATCATAGAGGTACCGGCTAGGGTCCGTGCATGTGGATACATTTCCTCGGGTACCGTGGGCCGGCCTCCGACTACACTGTGCAATGAGCTCCGCGTTCGCCGCCAGTTCCGCCATCCAGTCAGTTACTCGCCGGTACAAGGAGAAGTAAGTCATTTATCAGACTTCTTTTACTTTGCGAAACATTCACATCAAAAGATCATATCGGAGGATTTGGAACAAATTTGGCCATGTTGCAATGTAGATCTGCGCATGATACTTTCCTCCCGGCACACTGTGTGTGTACCTTTTAGAGCTTCATCCGGGTCTTGTCTTCGCGAAGACTGCTACTCGACAGCTTCACCTCAAGCTTTCAGCATGTTCACATTGGCAAAATTGGAGACGAGCATTGGTGGAACTTTGTTGTTTCAATTACGTGTAATCATTTCATTTCATTCTCCTAGCATCCTTATGCCAGTTCTCATAGTGAGCCCTCTATTTAACCTATCCAGAAAACCATTAAGCGTTGTATGTAGAAGCAGAGACGTTACCTCCGCGGCCGGTCCAGTTGACGTGGTGGTACTGGCCAGCGGGGTACTTCTCGTTAGCTGACTCGGGCTTGACGAGGAAGGTGTGGGCACCTGCAGGAGTGTTCTGGTTAGCAAGTTGTCAAAGGAATTTGTAGTATCAAGTAGCTTACCGAAGTAGTCGCGCTGAGCCTGGAGGAGGTTGGCGGGCAGGTCCTTGGTGCGGTAACCGTCGAACCAAGACAGAGCGGTGGAGAAGGCCGGGGTCGGGATTCCGAGGAGGGCGGCCTTGGCGACAACGTCTCTCCAGCCGGGCTGAGCAGTGTGGATGGCCTTGTTGAAGAAGTCGTCGAAGAGAAGGTTCTCGAGGTCGGGGTTGCTGCGGAAAGCGTTGGTGATGTCCTTGAGGAAGACGGAGCGGATAATGCAGCCACCGCGCCACATGAGGGCGATGGAGGGCTTGTTAAGCTTCCAGCCGTACTCCTTGGCGGCCTCGTTCATCAATTGGAAACCCTGAGCGTAGGAGACGATCTTGGAGGCGTACAGAGCCTGCTCGAGGTCGTCGATGAACTGCTCCTTGTTGCCCTCGAACTTGTTGGTGCGACCAACGTACTGAAGCTTGCTGGAAGCCTTAACACGCTCCTCCTTGATGGAGGACAGGCAGCGGGCAAGGACAGCCTCGGCAATCAGGGTGACGGGCATACCGAGGTCAAGGGCGTTGATAGCGGTCCACTTGCCGGTACCCTTCTGGCCAGCCTGGTCGAGAATCTTCTCGACGAGGGGAGTTCCATCGTCGTCGTTGTAGTAAAGGATGTCACGGGTAATCTCGATCAGGAAAGAGTCCAAGACGCCCTTGTTCCACTTGGCGAAGACATCGCCAATCTCCTTGCAGGAGAGGCCGAGACCGCGCTTCAGGATATCGTAGGCCTGGATGTCTTGTTAGCTACGGGCATATAGCTACGGGGAGCTCGGATGGGGGGGGGGGGGGCGCATACCTCGCAGATAAGCTGCATGTCACCGTACTCAATACCGTTGTGGACCATCTTGACGTAGTGACCGGCGCCCTCATCACCGACCCAGTCGCAGCAAGGCTCGTTGTCGCTCTTAGCGGAGATGCTCTGGAAGAGGTCCTTGATGTGGGGCCAGGCCTCCTCGTTACCACCGGGCATCATGGAGGGACCGTAGCGGGCACCCTCCTCACCACCAGAGACACCGGAGCCGACGAAGCGGATGCCCTTGGAAGCGCAGTACTTGGTGCGGCGGTTGGAGTCGGGGAAGTGAGAGTTACCACCGTCAATGATGATGTCACCCTTCTCAAGGAGGGGGATGAGGGTGTCAATGTAGTCATCGACAGCCTTGCCGGCCTGGACGAGGAGCATGACTCGCTTGGGGCTCTTAAGTTTTGAAACGAACTCCTCCAGAGAGTGAGCGCCCACGATGGACTTGCCCTTGGCCTCGTTGGCCAGGAATCGGTCGACCTTGGAAACGGTACGATTGAAGGCGGCAACGGTGAAACCGTGGTCTGGAAGGGATATTAGCCACCTGAAATATGGTATAGGATGTGAATGTCGGAATTACCGGCGGCGTTGAGGATAATGCTTTGAGAGTATTAGTGAACCATTTCTTACACAATGGAAGCTGGAAGAACTTACTTTTGACCCATAACGGCCAGGCCGATGAGGCCCATATCAGCGCTGTGATGATGGTCAGCTTGAGTGTTCACTAGCCGGACGTTGCTTATTCAGGTGCGAGGAGAAGGAGAGCGGAGCGGGACCTCGGAGCAGGCACAACGCCTTCCACAAGGTTGGCAAGACGAGCGCTGCATTACGAGTATGAGTATGTTGTTGATGAGTCGAGAAAAGAGAAGGCCATGACTTGAGGCCAATATTGAATGTTCATTGGCACCTCCCGAGACCGTACCAGCACCGTAGCATCACGACGGACGTCGACATGCGGCAATTCGCAGCCGTGGTCATTGTCGTGAAGCATCGGAGGTCGGGAGAGGGGTGGTGGGGTAATTTTTCTTTGGCTTTGAGAGCGAAGAGGGGTTTAGAAAGCAGACTAGGTATTACTTACACAGGTCCAGACATGATGAATGATGTGTCGATGGTTTACGTGGGGGTGGTTGTTTGATGGAGGAGAGGTTCAGACGCGCGAATCTTTGATGATATGCGGGAGCGTCGAGTTATTTATCTCTAGGGAATGTGTCAAGAAGGAGACGAGAAGCTGGAGCTTTCGTCAACCCGGACGAAGTTTGTAGGGGGAGGGTCGACGGAGGGGTAGGAGGGGAGGGGGGGGTTTGTCTTAGTGCAGGGGCCACCCATGACAAGCGCAGATGTGCACACTCCCACTCCAGTCGACAAGTACCTCCCGGTGCTTTTCGCCTGGGTGCAAGCAGCTTGGCCTTTCTACGGATACATACCTACGACTTTTTTCTTCGCTTCCCATTCTTTCTTTGGGGGTGGGAATCTCTCAAAGACTGGGCAGAAAAGCGGGACCAGACGGCTTGTTCGACCATCGACAGGGCTGCTTTGCTGCTTTGACTTGGCTGTTTAGTGGTCACCCCTCCTGGACTCTCCTGGACTAACTCGAGATGATTGGCTTTTTCCTGTTGGCGGGACGAGCTTACTCATGGACAAAGAGGTACATACCGCAGTCTCTAGGTACTCGTGGTACTCTGCTGGTATCTTTCCATGCTTTGGCATCCCACTTTCACTTCCAGCACTTCCGTACGGATTACGGAGTAGGTACACGCATACAGGAAAGAAGAGGGACACATACATCACCGCCAGGACGTGGAGCTCCATGGAGAGGACCAGACCCTCCTCCAGCCAGTTCCAATTGGACGGCCTGTCATGGAGGGGCAGTTATGACGATGCTCTCCTCTGTCACCTCGTCTTTCCCGCGTCTCTCTGCCATCCGCCATTTTTGTTGTTGAGCAAATAAGCCAGAAGCTTTTGTCTCGTTTAGCGGCCAGATTGACACCAAACACCGTCTATGCCAGATCAGACATACCCTCGCAGAGAGCATGAAATGTACCAGCCTGCTCCCTTCACAGCGACTCCGATGTACCACGGTTACCGCATTGTGCCATAGAACCGGCCCGCGCGGCGGAGGGCGGCCCAGCAACGACCATTATGCCTGCTCCACGCCGGTGGTGTTTTAGTCAAGCAGCGCGCCAGCCTGACGAAGCCCGTCGTGCAAAAAGGCGCTTCTGGATCCGTCCTGTTGTGGTCCGATTCGGCGATAGGCACCCGTTCCCATTGGCCGCCGCGAGCATGTCTCACACTCTGCGTGTTCCAGGGGAGGGATTTGCGACTCCGGTATTCAAACTCGATGCGTCAGACCCTGACGTTTCGCAACCCACGGCCGCGGAGGAACACTCTGCGCTCGGTCTAACAGGCCGCGGGGGCTCTGCCTAATCACCAATGCTAATCTTGCGCGATGCATTGCGGCGTTGCGGCCTGTCTGCTGGCGGCATATAATGTTATTGCCCTCCCAGCGGAGCTCCGGTACTCGCTGCTCTCTCGCTTCGTATGCTCCTGGACCGTCTTGGGTGGTAGGGGTTAGGGACCAGAAGGGATTTGATTTGTCTGGTCCGTCGTTGTCTTGCTCATGCTCCCAAACGTCCCTCGACTTTGAGAGCCGCCCTGCACGTGCAGCATCTGCCCCTCGCTCCGGACTGCATTGGAGGAAATTCCGTTTCTTCAGCATAGAAGAGACCCCATGCTCCCGGGCCGTTCCAGCAGAGCTTCGAGAACGTCCAAACCCTGGAGGCTTGCAGAGAGATATCGGGACGTCGCGTTGTCGCTATTCATCTATGAGCGCGCGCTCGGCATTCCGCCTTCAGCCGGAGAGAACGCCGTGAGAGATGCATGCAGCCTTACCACCACCACCACGACTGCGATTATAATTAGGCATTGGATAGGAAAAAGGCAGCGGCCGATGCGCATGCGCCTCGCGTTTCCTATCCCTGGACAGCGGATAGCGGGCCTTGCTCGTTATACGCGACAAATCACGATGCGCTTCCAATGGTGTGCAAAGGAAGTCGGCCCCAACCAAACCGAAGCTGGCCGTAATGAACCCCTCCAATTCCTCCAGTTGGACTGCTTGGCCGAAGCAGCCTCAATCTATTGGGTTCGTTGAGACCCACGCCCTCAGCAGAAGGGGACAGAAAATATCGCACCTCCATCTCCCAAGGTACCTCAAGGTGTGGATGGAGGCAGCGCAGCCGCAACGCGACCGCCGACGGTGAATCCGTCCCTCACTGCTCACAAATCGATAAATATGGCTCTCACAAAGGAAAACGAGGGGCAACCTCAGTGGGGGTTACCGCCGCCTTCGGGCCTTGGATCGGTCGCACGACCCGGAGTCGTCGGTTGAGAACTCCGCTAAAGCTCCGCTTAGAATCCACGCGCATTACTGATTGGCATGGACCTGACCGAGGGAAAACGCAGCGTCGTGTCGGAGGGCGACGGAGGCCATGATGTCAGCCAACAAACACCGATAGCTGCACTACTGATTATCCGTTATGTCCGTCTGAAGATGTCCGACGGATAAAATGCAGCTGATGCAGGAACAGGATGGTTAAATGGGATGGTGACAATCCCAGCCGAACGGAGCGAGAGTCGAGACTCAGACAGCACGGCCGGTGCCAAATAATCAAATGGCGCAAGACAGAACTGGGATTCCTGTTTTAAACCTCTCTAGGCGTTTAATCGGCGGCATGTGCTGCATTGTGAACCTCGGGATTCGAGAAGCAACAACTGAGAATGCGGGATGCAATGGACGGCAGTTGGTGTCCACCCACCTGAAAGGTTGAATAGCAGTGCCAAGCCATGGTCAGTTTCTTGTCCGAGCTTCATCCAGGTAAAGCCACACTTATCACGTGACATATCGGACTTAGCCACCAGCCACATCGGCCACGAGCTATCGCCGAGGCTGAGACGACATTGTCAGAATTTCTCCGAATACATCACCAACAAACCCATCTCTGCATTTGCGACAGCCCCGACAACAGCACACCCACCGCCGGCTATAGCAAACAGCAAAGGAGGTCTGACTTCTTTGAGCAGGAACAACCCAGGCTCAGAGGTACGTTGCCACAAAAAAACTCAAGCAAAGCCATACGCGCCTTGCTTGTACCAAAAAAACCGTATCATACCCGCAGTTCATTCATCATGGCCTACCCGCCCCCTCCAGGTATCTCAAGCGGCCCCTCCACCGGCAACCCACCTTCCCATCCCTCCCTGCCCGCGCGGCCACCTCCGAGCAAGTCATCCGGAGGCTTCAAGCCCGCCTTCAAACCCGCCTACGGAGCTGCAACCTCCTCCGCTCCTCCCTCCTACTCGAGCGCACCAAACTACGCCAGCGCGCCAGCACCCGCTGCCCGTTATGGCTCCTCCTACGCGACGTACCAGCAACAATTGTCACCCTCGCCCTCGGTAGCCGCCGGCCGCTATGCGGCACCAGTGCCCGCATACGATTCATACGCACAACCCGGCGCCGGCTCTCGTTACGGCCAGGCCTCGAGCTACAATGCGCCGCCTTCGACCTACGGCGCGGCGCCGCAGATTCGCAACCCGTTCCCGATTCCCGGCACCGGCGGCCCTGCTGCCGGCGCATCCGTCGCCTCAGCCTCCGACTACGACCCGGACATGGCGATGCAGATAGCACAGTGGCAGAGCGCGTACAGCTCCAACGGCAGCAAGGACGCCAGCGGTAGAGACCCGGTCGTCCCCGGTGGCCGCGGTGGCATGCCCGCCACAGGCAGCAACGTCGCGACTCCTCCCATCATCGACCCCGCCGCCGCGGCCGCGGCGGCCGCAGCAGCGAACCAACCCCCGGAGCGCAAGAAGACCGTCGTCCGCGAGGGCGGCGGCAAGAAGTGGACCGACGACACCCTCGCCGAGTGGGACCCGAGCCACCTGCGCCTCTTTGTTGGTAACCTCGCAGGCGAAGTCACCGATGAGTCCCTCCTCAAGGCCTTTGCCCGGTGGCAGTCGGTACAGAAGGCGCGCGTGATCCGCGATAAGCGCACTGCCAAGTCCAAGGGCTACGGCTTCGTCTCCTTTAGCGACGCCGACGACTTTTTCCAGGCCGCCAAGGAGATGAATGGCAAGTACATCCAGAGTCACCCCGTCACTGTCCGCAAGGCGAACACGGAGATCAAGATCACCAACGTCAAGGGCAAGGACCACCGCAACAACCGCAATAACAAGAATAAGAAGCACTCTGGCAACGGCGGTGGTGGCGGCGGTGGCGGAGGAAACAAGCACGGCGAGGGTACTGGGTATGAACCCAATCTTGGCCCTGTGCATAGTCACGGCGTCACGAAACCCGGACAGAAGACCAAAAACGGTCTCAAGCTGCTTGGATGATTGTTATCTTGGTTTAAGAAGAGTTTTTTTCGGGCTGGACTTGGCGTTCTGGAGTTGGAGGTCACCCATACCCATCATAATCAACGTATGACACAAAAATAGAAGCATTTTCTCGGTCAGACTTTGTATTGAACATGCCATCTACGTGATGTGAAAACTGCAACTCCGCACAGGAACCCCTCTCACGTACCCTGTTCTGCTACTAACTATTACGCAGTTTGACGAGGTGGAAAAGGTGTGATATCGGGTAATGTCCCCTGGAGTATACCCGAGGAGTTCCATGAGACCCAAAATCCCAAACTAAGTATCTTTCTTCGCCACGCCTAACATCGTAACAATTGGTAGCGGACAGGGTACGTGAGAGGAGGCAGAGGAAGGAATTCATCCATACCCCAATCGCTCACCCACCCACTCATCTGACCCCCCCCGGATTCACACGATATATCAACCGAAATCACCGCTGGAACCCAGTAACCCGATCCAGATTAAAGGCGGCACTAATGAGGGCCAGATGACTGAAAGCCTGGGGCGTGTTACCGAGCTGCTCGCCGCTGCGGGCAATCTCCTCGGAGAACATGGACAGGTGGTTGGAGAAGCTGAGCATGTTCTCAAAGAGATTGACGGCGCGGACGAGGTACTTAGGTTCGTAGACGGAGGCGCGCGTCATTGCTTCGACGAGCCAAAAGGTGCACATGCTGAAGGCGCCTTCTCTTCCGCCGACGCCTGGGAGGGGAAAGCAAGAAAGGTTAGAGTTCATATCACATGGTGTATGGTATATCTTTGAGAGAAGTTGGGAGGCGGGGGAAGGGGGAGGAGAAAAAGGGGCGCGGGAGCGCTTACCATCGTCCGAAAGCTCGGTATCGTAACGGGAGACGAGACCTGTGCTGGTGAGGCCGCCCTTTTCGGGGGGCATGAGGATGCGGTCCATTGTGTTTAGGAAGCGCGGGTCGTTTGGGGCGATGAAGAAGACGAGGGGGGCGATGAGGATCGAGGAGTCGAGCATGGTGTTGTTCTCGTAGCTCTGGACGAAGCACTTCATTTCCTTGTTGTAGCCTGTTTATTCCCCCCACGTGGGGCCTGGTCAGTTTTCTTCTCCATCTGATAATCATCGTGTATAATTTGAGATGAAAATGAGAGAATTGGGGGTGTGGGAAGGACCCTCTCGGTGAAAGGCGAGCTGAAATGCAAAGGTCGTCCGTACCTTTGTCCATGATCTCCTCCATCAGGTTATCGCGGGCCTCGAGCCATTTACTGCGGTTGGGGCAGGGGAAGTTGCGTTTATCTGCGAGCCGGAGGCCGCGATCGAAGGCGACCCAGAGCATGACCTTTGAGTAGGTGAAGTTTTGCTTCTTGTTGCGGACTTCCCAGATGGACATGTCGGGTTCTTTCAACGTTAGTACTTCCATCTCTTTTAAAAGAAGCAAGTCGACAACTTACTATCCGTCAAAGTAAGGACAAAGTCTGCGCAGCGAGTCAGCTCCACGATCTAGCAATTTATAATCAACCGCCCGGAAAGGCAACATACCCAACATCTCCCTCACAGAACACCACTGATCCCAGCTAATAGGCTTCCCGTACTTGTTGTACAAATAAATACCGTCCATGAGCTCGCCGTAGATATCAAACTGCTGATGGAACGCGGCGCCGTTGCCGATCCGCACCGGCTTGCTGCCGCGGTACCCTTCGAGGTGATCGAGCTCCTGCTCGGGGATCTCGGTCTCGCCCCGGATGGTGAACATGATGGGCAGCTCGCCGCTAGGCCCGCGCGACTTGACGAAGCGCTCGCTGATAAAGTCCATGTAGGCGTCGGCCTCGGCGGAGAAGCCGAGGCGGAGGAGGATGTAGATTGTGAAGCTTGAGTCGCGGATCCAGCAGAAGCGGTAGTCCCAGTTTCTGTTTTGACTGATGAGCTTCTTTCCATGAAGAAGAAGAAGAAACAAGCCCAAAGGGATGACGAGAAACAAGAAATCCTTACCGAACACCGCCAATATCCTCAGGGATAGAAAACGTCGGCGCAGCCACAATGGCGCCGGTAGGCTCATACGTCAGCATCTTGAGCAGCATCAGACTCCGGTTGACCACCTCGCGCCACCGGCCCTTGTACTTGCTCTTGGAGATCCAATTATACCAGAACGACTGCGTATCATGCTGCTGGCCGTCGAGCACCGCCGTCGTGACGTTCTGCGTGACGTGGTCCGGCTTGTCGTTGCGGAGGACAAATGAGACGGCCTGGCCCTCTGTGATTTCCAGGTGCGCGACGACGCCCTCGCCTAGCATGCCGTCGCGCTTCTCCTTTCTAAAGGTGATGGAGGGGGCCGGTGCCGAAGCTGCCGCGTCCGGCTCGGCGACGTCGTCTACGGTGACGTCGAGTTGCATCTTGTAGTGCTCGCTGTGGAAGGTGACGGCCCTGCTTGGGCTGTTGGCCGTGTGAGTTGGCTCAATGATTGTGGTGACGTGGGACTCGCTGGCGTATTGGAAGGCCGGGAAGATCTCGATGTCTAAGGAGGATGTAATTCAGTATTGACTGAAACCAGGGAGTTTTTAAGAGCAGCTACCCACCAAGCTGGAGACGGCCGCGGATACACTCGACTCGACGGACGAGCCATTTCTTGAGCTCCTCCTGGATCTCGGTCGTCTCACGGAACGCGCCTTGGCGGGTACTCTTCGATATGACAGTGGCGGTCTTGGGGCGAGGGAAAAAGTCCACGACGTCAACGACGCCGTCATCGTGAATGTATCTAGTCTGCAAGATGTTGGAGGATGGGAGGTATTGTTGCCTTTTGGAACTGGTCAGAGGGCAACACGGTGTGTGTAAGTTTTTAAGTTTGCTCACTTTGTTGTACATAGCTTGGACGGAGGAGGACAGATGCTGAAGAAGCCGCCCTTTTCCTGGTCAAGTAACCGACAGAAGATACTGGGCGAATCGAAGTCGGGCCTGGGATGGTGCGTCAGATCAAGGTTCATGGATGAGAAGGAGCAACATCATCTCATCGTCTCATCAACAAGGAAATCGAGCTCGTGACGGCCAAATATTCCGGATGAGAGGCACTTTAACCACTCTTTCTCTTGAAACCTTAGATTATTTGGAGAATTATCATTCTCATCTCATGTCGTCCATTTCATAGGCTGCCATGAGTGAGACGGAGAAAGTACAGGAGGATCATCACTCGGCCGAGTGTAACGTCGGCCCGGATGGGATGTGTAAGTAGCACAAGACAAATGAGAGAAACGGTTCCTACCAGCACATAAAATCAACCGAACCGTTCGTTCCCACGAGAGCGCATGTGTGCATATTGCCAATCATGCCATAGTCCTCGATCGGCAGGTACCCGGCGCGGCTGCCGGCAACATGTCTTGTCGAGCACTGTTGAGCCATGACGTCGATTCCCGGATCGTCGGAGAAGCTTTCTATGAGTGAGATATCAGATGCTACCGTAGTCTTTGTGTGCTAATATGAGACCCTTTCGAATGAGATAAGTACGATGATATATTTGACAAGATAACAGTAAATAATCAACCAAACGGCCACTGCTGAACGATTGTAAAACCAACTGAATGTAAGCTATGAAGTCAAGCTTGAGGTCTAAGTAAAGGTGGGGGGGGGGGGTAAACCCCGGCGATTACTGAGGGAACGGGTAGAGCGGAAGCCACGATCTGCGACTACTGTGGCTTGCGGGAGAGGGGAACCAAACACATGTCAGCGGACGCCTTTGTCATGGTCGTCTCTCTCTCTCTCTCGATGATAAACGCCGACTAACACCTAGCGCTAGGGTTCTCGACTTGCAGCCGACATGCTGCATCGTGAACGGAAACGAATGCCCGCTCGCTCCCGCTGCGGGACTAACTACCAAATTCACCGAGCACCAGCAGTCCTCGGATGAGAAGCTGGATTGGTTTCCCCAAAGGAGACAGCTTCTCGGAGAGACGAGCTTGGACCCAATGTGCGTGATGTGATGTCGAGCACCCGAAGCTTGACGACGCTGCCCAATATCGTAGGACGCATCGAGCCGCTAGTGAGAATCCACCTTGGCGCTCAGCTCCTATGGAAATTATGGATTATGGAGTGAGCTGCCAGATCGGCAACCCCAAGGTTGGCTGGGCCCAGGCACAACGCGCAGAGCTACCCTGTTGGAGCTTAGACAATATCGACAGGATCAATACTGGAAACTCTCATGAGAATAATACGAATTATGGTGGAGATTTTCTAAACTATTCTGCCCAAGAACCCACTGCTCACCTGAGTCGAGAGATCGATCGCAGGGGACTTGAATTTCGTACGCGGGGACGGATCTACGGTGTTGAATGACGGTGGCTGACATCATGGAAAAGGGTCTGGACCATTTCCCTCCCTTGGAACATCTAGCTCACCCCAAAGGCTCCCGTCGAGCGTCCTACGTGAGAGTGAGACACTGACGCGTTGGGGAACGAGAAAAGGAAAGGAAGGAATTAATAAATCAAACGGCGTGCGGGCAGCGGCGGGTAATGAGAAGGCTGAATGAGGCGGGTTGGTGTCTCACTCAACCGCCTTGTGTTTTTATTTATTTATAATGCTTCTTCTTGGTCTTTGGCACCGGGTGTTTTCTCAAGCAAAACAACACGTCGGGGCTGGGTAAGACAAGACATTTCAACGGCCCCGAGGCCTAGGGAGCTCACGGCTGTGGACCTATGGTAGGTAGCTTGTGACGCCGTCTTGTTTCTTTTTTTCTTCGCGGTCTGCGGGGGAGAAAGAGGCAGAGAAGGTGTGAGAGGTTGGCGCGGCGGTATACTGTTTTGAATCTGTCAGTCGATAGTTCCGATTTTAGAGCCACATCGGACTCGGACTCTCTCTTGCCCGCCGTCTGTGAGCTCGATGCCTCTTTTGGGATGGGGTTTTATTCATATTAGTAGAGGTCCATGCGCGAAAGAGGAACAAGGTGGCGGGGAAAAGCTGGCACGACTGGGAAACAGCAACAGCAGCTCCTTGTGAACGGAGACGGACCGAGGTCAATAAGGATGTTTCTTGCTGTGTCTATTGTAAGTCGTACCTGCAAGGCAAAAAGTCTCAGAAGAAACGGGCCCGGAAACGAAAACAATGCGACCGTTGTTTGGATTGAGGTTGATCACTTTCATTCTTAATCAGCAACTACCTCGAGACTTTGAGGGATGGGTGGGTGGCTTTCCCCCCCCCCAAATGATTCAAACAACTTGGATGGATGCTGGGGCGGGCTTTTCTTTGCTCGGCAGCGGGTCGCGGCGCAAGCCCGAGGATCCGGGTCCGGAACATGGTGAAATCTGTGCTGGGAAGAGAGGAGTTGCGACTTCAGTTGGTCTGAGAAAGTCACGGGCTGGTGTGTGAGACTTTTGAGTTGAGTGTGAGACTCTCACTCATCTAAGGTGGGTTGGGTTGGATCGCTCTGGGCAGTTGGTCACCCGAGCACTCTCATCGCAAGGTTGGAATAGTCCCGACCACTAGAGCTCTACCGACGACCGTGACACCTAACCACATGGCTAGCAACATAACCGAGAAACTTGTGCTGCCCACGATGGATGAATTGCCCTGCAGCTTGACCTGCGGAACCGCGGTGAGGGGAGAGAAGTCTAGTGTAGGAGGGGAGGAGGGAGGGGGGCGTTGTGGTAAGGTTGCGTCGAGCAGGGCCCCCAACAAGTGGATGAGAGATCCTGTGACTCTGGATGTGAGAGACGGCTGGGCCAAGCTTAAATGGGAGGTTACATTCTCGGAGGTCGTGTGTGAGCTCTACATAGTAGGACCCGACGAACGGCTCCATTTACCGCCCGTGAAACTTGAAGCATCACATCTTCGGATGACCCTCAGTCTCTGGCGATCTGGGCCACTCTTGCGTTATGCTATTGCTTTACTGCTCGGTCTGTGACCTCACTTAATGCTGTGTATGTGAGGTTGATGGAGGGATCAGAACGGATAAAGGGGCTAACACATTGCAGCTAACTTCGCGTACCTCGAGGTAATCTCAGATACTTTAGTTAGAAGGGCACACTAGTGACGGGCCGCGGGAAAGCATAAAAAGACAAACGAACGATGTCCAGCTGAAGACGGGGACCATGAACGAAGAGCATGATGACTCAAAAAAACAACAAAAACACGCGTATTGTTACTACCTCATTCGTCCAGGTGGTGACTCTTGAGAGGACATCTCTCATATTAGCAGTGTTATTGCAGGCAGACCCGATTCTTCCTTCCGTCAGTCTTCCAGCAGTGGCCCTGGGGGTCCATTGATCCTCACCCAGTCCGAGGTGGGATGCACTGTCCACGGTGAAGGACACTGCGTGAGTGTTTGTTGACAGTTGTTCTCGCCAGGCCGCTCTGCATAGGGATTTCCCACTTCACACCCAAGAATCGCCTCCTTCTCCTCGCGTGCCTTGGTGAGTGTCTACTGAGCTGGCATGTCACAGGGAGCATCAGGAAAGGTCATCCCTGATGGGCGACCCTGACCGCCGTAAGGAAAGCCTGGAAGCGAATCCAGTGCTGCAGCAGACGCCCACGAGACGTCTCCACCGTGAGGCGTGCCAAGAATGTCCCCACATTTCATCTTGGGAGGAGGAAGGAGCAAGAAAGCAGAGACATTGGACATTTTGCAGAGATTGAAGCAGCAGCACCTGCGCTGTCCTCAGGAGAAGTTCAGAGGAGTGGAAGGCGGGTGGGTGGTAGCGGTAATTGGCGGTAAGCATAAGCCACCGAGATCATGGGCAGGGGCTGCAGGGCCAGACAGCGGTACGTACCTGCAGCATCAGTCCCGTCCCCGTCCCCGGTCCCCTTTCCTCCCCCTTTCTCTCTCCCTAACCGTGGACCGCTGTACCCACCTCGTCTGCGTGTGGGCGCCCGCGCGACACCTGTGACTGGAGAAATGATCCGCACCGCCGTGACCAGGATTAACCTCTGGTGCCTTTCGGCCTGGCGGGCAGGGCAGTCTGTCCTATCGACAGCCTAACTCCAAATGTGCTTCCAAATGCACCAAACATTGCACCAAAGCACACAAGCCCAGACCCGGACAGCAAATCAACTGTGCCCAGTTCTCGACCCAGGCGGATCTACCTTTCACTGCCAGACTGTGTACAGACACTCCAGAGTAAGCCAGATGCCCAGAGAACGACGGCCGGTAACCTGGATCTGACCTTACCAACGGCCACCCGGTCCACCGTACGGATACACCCAGCCCAGCCTACCAGCCCCGGCAGCTTTTGTGCTTGTGAATCCCGCTGTGGAATCCCAGATTAAATCATGCCCCAATCCTCCTCCTCCTCGCCCTCCGACTCGACTTCCTCTTCACTTGTGCATGTCCTGCTGCCTCCCGACCCTAACCAATCTCAATCTGCCTCTGCTTTCGTCTCGGCTGCTGCCAGTGCCGTATCATCCTCCCCCGACCCCATTGACCACGACGACGCCCTCCCCTCCTCCTCACACGACCACCACACTACTGCTACCACCAACCGCCGCCTCCTGAGCCCGTCACCTCTGCTCCTCCCACCACCCACCGCACCCTCGCCTGGACACGCGACCACCACGGATAACACCCCCTCGAACCCGGATGGTGCCCGGTCACGAGACATCGTCGACGCTGATACTGCCCACGCATCTTTGCGCCAGGGCCCTTCTTCCTCCCTCAACACCGCCGCTCGAGAGCGCTCTCCTCCTGTCGCCGCCGACATCAACGAGATCGAGATGGAGCCATTGAAAGGAACCGGTCACCGCCGGCGCCGCAGCTCGCTCATGCAAAGTGCTGGCGCTAGTAACCACCAAAGAGTCCCGTCAAGAAATCAGGGGAACATGCTGGAAGAGCCAAAGATATCAGAGGAAGACCTCGGAGCAACACCATCGGCATCCAAGGATATGGACGACGACAGCTTTTCCGATGAGGACCTCCATGATGACGAGGAGACGGGTCTGACGAAGAAGGATAAGAGGAGGAAGAAACAAATCAAGAGGAACAACACGCGGTTAGATCAGCGCTTCGTCCGGGGCGAAATCTCGGCCGAGGAGAAGAAAGAGGCAGATCAAAACGTCTTCAGGAAATCCGCCGTCAATGTTGTCCTGATCTTGCTGTGGTACTTGTTTTCCCTCAGCATCTCGCTGGTAAGCCTACTTCCTTATACACTCTTTGTCGATCCCGTCAGCAGAATCACAAACTGACACCCCGTCCCGCAGTATAACAAGTGGATGTTTGACGAGAACCGTCTCAACTTTGCTTTCCCTCTTTTCACAACGGCCTGCCACATGTTGGTTCAATTCGGCCTCGCATCATTAGTACTATTCTTAATACCCTCTCTACGCCCATCCAATGGAGTGCGCAACTCGGATTTGGGGCGCTCGCGGCACGAATCCGAGCCCGACCGACCTCTCATGACCAAGATGTTCTATTTGACGCGCATTGGGCCGTGTGGCGCCGCAACCGGTCTCGATATTGGACTCGGAAACACTTCCCTCAAGTTTATTACCCTCACGTTCTACAGTAAGTGATGTGCGCCGATCCAAGCTCACCACCCAAATTCAAACTAACGCCTCTCAAGCAATGTGTAAATCGTCTTCTCTAGCGTTCGTTCTGATCTTCGCCTTCTTGTTCAGACTCGAGAAGCCCACGTGGCGCCTCGTGGCTATTATTGCGACCATGACTGCCGGTGTCGTCCTGATGGTGTCGGGAGAAGTCGAGTTTAAAGTCAGCGGATTCATCCTCGTCATCTCTGCCGCCTTCTTCTCCGGATTCCGATGGGGCCTGACTCAAATCCTGCTCCTGCGCAACCCAGCAACGTCGAACCCGTTCTCCAGCATCTTCTTCCTGGCGCCAGTCATGTTCCTGACGCTGATCGTCATCGCCATCCCCGTCGAGGGCTTCCCCGCTCTCGTCGAGGGCCTAAAGGTCCTCGTCGCCGAATGGGGCGCCGTCACCACGCCGCTGTTCCTCCTCTTCCCCGGATGCATCGCTTTCCTGATGACGGCCTCGGAATTCGCTCTGCTGCAGCGCACTTCGGTCGTGACGCTTTCTATCGCCGGCATCTTCAAGGAGGTCGTGACAATCTCCGCCGCCGCCATCGTCTTCAACGACCGCCTGACGCCTGTCAATCTTGTCGGTCTCATCACCACCATGGGCGCCATCGTTGCGTACAACTACATCAAGATTACTCAGATGCGCGAGGATGCACAGAAGGAGGTCCAGCGCGGCCACATGGAGATCGCGCATGCCTCAGGCGCCTCCTCGAGCGGCAGCGATCACGACGACGGCAGCGGCGAGGAGGCGGGCCTGCTGAGGAACAGCACCGATTACGAGGACAACCTCGTCACTGCTGACGGCGATATCCTGCCTAACCCGGGACATACCGCGCACGAGTCGAGGACTGCTCAGGCCCACCGCGATAACTAGATGTCTCCTTTTTTCGGTTTTCAATATATCCAGGTGAAAGAGAAGGAAAGAAGAAGAAGAAAGAACCACAAACTGTGTATATATTTGGAAGGGGCATACAGCATATCTCGCCGATTTTTGGCAAGACAGAGGGCAGGCATAGGAGTTTTTCTCAAAGCGAAACATATCCGAGAAAGGGTGGTATGAAAGCCCCCCTTTCCCAGGACGAAATTGGTAAAAAGATGGTACATAACTGATATTGGGTTTTGGGTCTTGTTCCCCAAGAGGCAAAGGTTGCCTCGAAACGAAGAAGAGATGGATATACCAATTGGCGAGAGAAATGATACCATGGTAGTAGTGTAATGCCCCCCTCGAGAGGTTTAGACACAGAGAGAATTCAGAAGCATCACAACCAAACTTTGACATCTTGACTATTGGGTATACGTGACCTCGCCAAACGCGCGCAACATCACGGAGACGAGACAAATATGTTGTAATAGCAACTCAATACTTCAATATGACAACGTGACTGAAGTAGAAAAAGTATTGGCCTAGCGATAATGGCCTCTAGACAATGTTTGACCAAAAAGACACAGACCTCCTTCCTTCTCAGCCTATCCTCGGCCGGAGAAAGTCTGTGATAATGCTTAGATGGAAGTTCCCATCCGAGTCCATTCCCTCGTAAAATAAAGGATGGACACATACCCCGTCCCGTATTCATGCAAATCCATGCCTGCCGTTCCCGCCTCCAAAACGACGAATAACTTTTTGGTGTTGGGAGGGGTTCGTCTCTCGCTCAAGTGCCAGCCAGACCCGAAAAAATATGATAAATCCTCCCTTCTCCCCCTTAGTAGAAACGCCGCGCTATGCCATAAAATCACCATCCTCGTCCTCGTGGTTGTCCTTCTGCTTCGTCTTCGTGTTGGCTCTGGTCTTGGTCTTGGCCTTGGTCGTCGACTTGTTCTTGGTGACTCTGCCACCGCTAGTCTTGCCCTTGCCTCTAGCTGTCGTCGAACCGCTTCGGCCGCGCCCCCCTCGCGGGCGGACCGCGCGACCCTCGGTCTTACTCGTACTGACGCTGGCAACGCTGGTAACGCTGGCAACGCTCCCTGCCTGGCTGGCAGTGCTGCTTCCGCGGTTCCGTCGCCGCATGTTTGCCCCCTATGACAAGTCCATGCTGTCGCGTTCGTCGCCCAGCCTGTCGCCCACGGAGCTGAGCCCCGAGCTCGGCGGTCTCGACTCCTCCTTGATGTGCGGCGAAGTCGCCGACGGTGCGCTGCCCGGCGGTGGGCCTTGCATCTTGGATCGCCAGGTATGGATGCTCGGGAGGTCCCCGCCCTCGACCTGGACTTCTCCCACGTCGTTGCCCTTGCCGATGATCGTGCCGTGGTATTTGGAGTCTTCGCCCGTCTTGCTGTGCTTCTTCTTCAGGACTATTTGCCAATGTCAGTGTTAAACGCAAGCTTCTCCTTCCTCTCCGTTCCGTAGATTAAGGGGTGAGGTGACGAACCGTTCAAGTAGTCGCCCAACTCCAGCTCCCCATCACCAACCGCCGCCTCGCGAATGGCCTTGTTCCGCGGTCCAGAGAACCACTTAATGAACTCGTCCACGCCTCTCGTGTCCTCAACGATCCTCTCTCTCTCGCGTCCCCTCTCAGCAACCGCCATCGGCGTCGCCATGGCCAAGTCTCCCTCGCCGTCCGGCACAGCCGCAGCCGCAGCCGCAGCCGCAAGCTCTGCACCTTCCTCGTCCAGCGAGTCTAGAATCTCGCCCAATATCGCACCCCTCCCCTCGGCGAGCATGTCGTCCGGGGGCACGGCACCCAGCTCCTGCAGCGCCATGCGTACGTCCACGATGCCTGGGCCAGCCTCACCTTGCGGGTCGTTGTCGCCCGCGTGCCGCGCCGTCGCCTGGCAGAGGGCGAACATGTAGCGCGCCGCGAGCTCCGTGACGGCGTCGAGAACGACGGGCCGCGCGGCGTGGTACCCTGTCGCGCGCAGGATCTGGAGGACCGCGGGGCGGAGGAGGGCGTGGAAGAGGACTGGTGGGGGTGTCATTTTTCTTCTTCTTTTTCGTTTGTCTTTCGTGTAATTGAGTATTTCGGTTTGGTGATCAAGTTGAATTAGGGTGTTTTAATTTTTCGCCCTCGGGAGTATCGTAGAGCTTGGATTGTGTCGGGCCAAGAATTAAGGGTAATAGCGGGCTTGAGAGGAAATCGCGGGTTGCTGTGGCTGGGCTCGTAGGTTTGCGATTTCGTCTGTCACCGTCGGTTCTGTGGTAGGTTCAAGGAGCTTCGCATGATGTTGTGACGCGTATTTATCGGGTCGCAAGTCGTCGCTGAGTGGATATATAGGGTAGAGGAAAGCCGTCGGTCACGTCAATCCCCATATGCAGGTCGTTCGTTGGTTGAGGAGTGGGTGAGGAGAGTCCAAGTTCGCGAAATTTCAGCCTTGGTGAAATGGAAGGAGCTCGGACCAGTAGTGGACGGAACCTAAAGGTGGGAAGGAGGTGAGGTGGGAGCTCTTGCCTGCATGGGGAACCGCTGGGGAGAGCTTCCCTGACAGTGTGGATACTGTACGTACATTTACCCATAATGGAAGGCAGGCACATATTACAATCAAGGTACCTTAGACATAACTACATCTTCACAGTTGCACGATCCGCATATGCTTTGGCAAGGTACTTTAGACACGCAAGGTGGTGGACAAACCGCGCTCCTTTTTCTCTTTGATCAGAAGAGGCAATTCAACTTTTCGAGTACCGCTACGATCCACGAATTACAACGTTTTGCTAGCTTGACATTCCCCCCTCAGGCTTTGCTACTGCTGCCTAATAGCCACATCTTCTGACTTGTCGAGGCCCGTGTACTCATTGATCCATGCCAGAACCTCTCTGTGCCAGACAAGAGAGTTTTCAGGCTTCAGAACCCACTGTTCACAAGTTAGTAACCAAGGTAACCAACAAACGTCACCTGGAGCTCAGCACTTACATGGTTCTCGTCGGGGAACATCAACAGCTTGCTAGGTACGCCGCGCGCCTGCAGAACATTGAACATGGCGAGACCCTCAGAAATGGGAAGTCTGTAGTCTAGCTCGTTGTGAATGACCAGTTGAGGTGTCGACCACTGGTCAAGGTGATGGGCAGGATCCCACTTCTCGTAGCCCTCTCGGTTCTCCCAAAGAGGACCGCAAAAGTCATGCAGAGGGAAGAAGAGTTCTTCGGTTGACCACTGGTTGAGCGTTGAAAACACGCCATCGTGGCAGACCAATGCCTTGAACTTTCTTCCGAGCTCGTGGCCCTGGATCCAGTCTGTGATGAATTAGCATCTACCAACATGTCATTAAAGGCTGTCTCGACTCACTGATCATGTAACCTCCATACGAAGCACCCAAAGCAACAGCGTTGCCACAATCAATGTACGGAATGTTCTTCTCGATATGGTCGAAGCACTTCACCAAGTCCACGTACGGACGACCACCCCACTCATTCTGGATATTGTCGGTATGCTGCTGTCCGTAACCGGTGCTTCCCGTGGGGTTAGGCATGACTGCGATATAACCCTGTTCCGCAAAGATGGCGGGGTTCCATCGCGTGCTCCAGCTATCCATCCACGCGGCCTGGGGTCCTCCGTGAATGAGGAAAGCAAGCGGGTACTTTTTGTTCTCGTCAAAGTTGGATGGCTTCACCACCAGTGCGTGAACGTCGTATCCCTCGGCTCCCTTGTACCAGAACTCGTCACATTGAGACTTGGACAGACCGAACGACTTTCCGTGCTTGGAGCTCGAAGAAACGAGATCAGTATTCTGACTAACGGGATCCAGAACGGAGTAGGCCGAGTTCTCGACCCGGGATGACGTGCTAATGAAGAGCTTCTCTCCGTCTCCCAATAGCTTCGCCTCAACGACAGAGCCTTCCTCGTAGATTGCTGCGGGAAGGTCTTTCGCCTCGTGTGGTGTCGCTGGCAGTTTCCAGAGCTTAGCACGGCCGTGTTCTTCTGCCGATACGTAGAGCTCGGAATCGTCCTTGCTCCAGGTGATCCATTCGGGTCGCGCGTCCCAACCACCGGCGCCGTCGTCTGTCTGGTAAAACTCTTGTACGCTCGCCAGGTCGAAGACATCGGGAACGAGCAGCAGCCTCGGCTTGTCAGTCTCGTACTGATCGCTCTTCATCCGGGTAAAGGCGACCTTCTTGCCATCCCTGGAGAAGACGGGTGCCGCCGAGTAACCCCGGAGCTTGCTTGTCTTGACGATCTGAGGCAATGGCGGCTTGTCCTCGGTGAAGGTCCCCAAAGGCAGGAAGTAGAGGTCAGTTTTTGTGTAAATGGCCGGGGAGATTTCGGGGTCGCGCGCAACGAAGACGATGCCGTGCTTTCCAATATCAAAGTCGCCGCTGCCACCGAAAGGGGGCACTGGAGACACCAGCCGTGAGCCCTCGAGGGCATTGGTCAAACCCTGACCTTCCAGCTTATACGACTTGTCGTCCTTCTTCAGAAGACCATACCAGATGGAGTTCTGATTCTCGGACACCCAGGAATCCCAGTGCCTCACAAACAGGCTCGAATACACCTTGCCCGTCGTCAACTGCTTCTTCTCGGCTGCTGGGTTGTACATGGCACCCTCCGGGGTTGTCAACACGGCAACGGCAATAGCGACTTCATCATCGGACAGTCGCTTGGCTTTCAGGCTCGACAAGCTGCCTTCGAAGTGGCGGATTTCGGTAACTCTGTGATGGCTGTGTCAACTAAAGGCTAACGTGACTGGTGACAGAGACAAAACCTACGTAGACGGCTTCGTCACGTCTCCCAGAAGAAGGGTCGTAGCTCCCTTGTCACCGTTTCGCAGAATCAGAATCTCCTCGTCTGAAATCCATGTTACGTCACTGTAGGATGATTCCTCGTAAAGGAGGCTTGAATGGCCACTCTCGACATCAAGAACACGCGTTTGAGAAGTCTTGCTGTGGCTTTCGAATGAGTAGGTTGAGACCTGAGCTTGCGTCAGTTGACGCCCACAACTTCAATTGAGTGCCACGAAAGTCCAGGGTAACGCTACGACGTCAAGGACTCCTCGCAGGTAACAGCCAACTCACAGTATAGAGCGCTTTTGTGCCAGATGGATTGGGAATGCCCGGAGACCTGCGCGGGGCAGAGAGCAGAACCTCTGGGGTAAACTTGGAGGCTTGAATCGTCATCATGAGGAGCTAGAGGACCACGCTGTGCTGGTGGTTCACGAATTGGGTTACGAGCCAAAGAGAAATTAGTGGCAGAGGAATCAGAGCAGACTTGGGAATGGTGTCGTACATGTATGTCGGTCAACGTGCAGTGTCAATTGCGACATGACGACCGGGGGATCGACTACCCGACCTCCACTGGCATGGAAGCTCGGTTGAAAAGCCCCCGCACTAGCTATGGACAGGCTAGCAACGGCTGTTAGAGACACTGGGGCCGACAAGGTTCTCAGTCCCTGCGCAGGCGCTGCACAGACTCCGGCCCCCCCCCCCCCCCCCTCCAAGCCCCTCGTTGGAGCTTGTCCTTTCGGCTCCGAAGGGCGGGCTGCCCAGAGATGGGAGAAAGCGACGCCAAGCGCCCGGTACCCTTCAAAGAAGCTTCATCAGGCGACGGCTTCTGCATAATGCAAGGCGCCGGCGAGGGAATCACGTCGCTTTAAGGGTCTTTTCGAGTAGCTTTTGGAGGCATCGCAGGCAACTCAAAAAGTCTACTTGCTTAGAAACTTGGGCGACTTTTGAATAGGGTGTCAACTCTACAAAGTGTGACCAATACGTGCCAACTCTCAATGTTACGGAGGTAGGTATTTTTATTCCTCCTCGTAATGTTCCCGTCACTCCATGGTCCACCCCCTCAAGTATCTGTCCCTCGGTTGCATTCTTCTCGAAGCCAATCTTCGACAACATGCAGGCCACAGAGGGCAGCTCACTTCCCTAGAATGTCAAGATAAGCTTCAGATAAAAGGCGAAGCTGTTTCCTACCTTACGTAGTACCTATAACTGACCCGAAAGAGAGCGTCTTAATCGTCTTTGAGCAGTTAGGTGTTCTCAGGTTGCCAAGTGGTCTCCATGCCTAGATACGAAGGCATGAGCAGGTTCTACTTCCGTCGTAGCATCAAGGGTCCAACGGCGCAAAAGTACCGAGTGGAGACGAACTTTTGCAACGTCTCGGTGCAAAAGTGCCAGGAGTAGACCTTAGCCTCGGCCAAACACACACACTCTTAGCTAAGGTAATTCATCTCGCATTCTGGTCTAATCTAATCTGCTAATGAGATGGATTTTGATGCAAAAAAAAAAGAGCCAATGGGCCACAATGTATTGACCAACACTTGGTGGTTGGGATGAGGTTTTCTTTTGGAAAAGCCCTCTAGGGTATCGTGGTTCCGGAACTCCTCAACTCCCACCAACAAGTTTGCCTTCGAGGCCAAGCTTCCTACACTTGTAACCTAGGCATGCTATATATGCAGGTCTGAAAGTAAGCGATGCTGAGTGATAGCTCTCGTGATCCCAACGTCACAATTGCAAGACCTCCCGCTTGGGAGCCTACTACGATTGCGACCACTGTTGACACAGAAAGCATCGCCTCAGCAATACGCGAAATAATATTGCCTGAAACCCAACAAAAAGTTCGTAAAATCATTCTGTACCAACTCCATCCCACTCGGTGGGATGGAGCCTGTTGTACCGGAGTTCTTCCTCACTTGCGGCCAGCGCCAAAGTTGATGCGCTTCTTGTTCGGCGCTTGGGAGTCGTGATCGCTGTCCTCCTCAGTCTGCTTCTTGTTCTTCTTTCCGGATTTCGATGCCGTCGCCGACGTTGGGGTTGCGTGGTTCGAGCCGCCGCCGCCGCCGCCGTCCTTGAAGGACGTCGACAAGGGAGTCGGCGCATGCGAAGCGGGAGTCGAGCCAGGTGTCGTGGCTTCCTACAAATCGTCATGTCAGCAGCAGTTCTTAGAGTGCTATCAGCTGATCGAGAGAAGAACGTACACTGCCAGGACGATACGACACGGAGCTCCGCGAGAACACGCGGTTCTGCTCCGTGGCGCCAGCCTTGCGCCGCTGCGCAGCCGCGCCGGAGCCCTTGATGTAGTTGTCGAAGCCGGCAATGATATTGCCATTCGGTGTGCTGTCGAGGTACGCCGTCTCCTTTTGCTCAATGTCGGCCTCGATCGTGGCGAGCTTCCTAGCAATCACCGCTCTCTTGTCCAGCATCTGGCGCAGGCGAACTTGTTCCTCTCTGTACATTTGCATCGTCGGAGCCGGCCCTTGCGCCGTGTTGGCGGCGTTCGCTTGGTTCTCGCCCATGGTTTTTGCTTCGTCGGAGTTTGCGTGTTTTTCTTGCGCGCGGGCGCGTCTGGTTTGACTCGATGCGGGCGCGGTCGAGTTCGAAGCTGGAATTGGTCGCGATGAGGGGGGGAGGGTCGAATGATTGATTTGTCGCGCTCGCGGAGCTTCAGCGGCTGAGGAGCCGACCACTTTTGGCGCTGATGGTCACTAGGCCAGGGACGCATTTTCATTGGTCGATCTGCCGTGGCTCGAGTGGAGACCGGGGAATTGCTTAGTCAACCAGCCAAAGGGAACATTGTGGCTGCAGTTGACAAGGAAGGGGCTTTGAACAGGGCAGTTCATCGGACTCGAATCCTTCGCACAACATATCTCACTCAGCACCCATATCCAGAGTTCAAAGATTCCCTGCTGCCCATTGTGTGTGCATTTCTTTCGCAATCAAACTCCCATAATTACGGACAAAAGAACTCCACAGGGTCTTTGTCATACTCTCTGCCAAAATTAACCTTGATTCCTGGTATATCTCAAGGTCCCCCAGCATGCATCGCCCCAGGGCCGCCAGTACGGGTAGTACAGTGACACACCCCAGTCCAGTCCTAAGGCTGGCCGTCCGAGGCGCATGAACCAAGACGGATCATCATCTCTCGCGCCAGTCTATCTGCAACAGTGCAGAGTACACGAGCCGCCCTCATCAAGACTCTCCGGATCCTTCTAGGTCTGCCCCTGACTCTGGCTGCGAAAGACAGCATGACAACAAAGTGCTGCCGCCCAAGAAAGCAAAAAGTCAGCCAAAGGTTTCGAAATGCGTGCAGATACCGCGGCAACTTGCTTTCGTCAGTCCATTCTGTTCGCCAAATAACCCACAAGACTTACACCACAGACGACGGGACGACTCACGAGGGAACATACACCAACCAGCCAGCCTCCTCAAGGCATTTCACTCTGCCGCCCTTTCGGCACCAACGGCACCATGTCACCACCACCCAATTGCCCCCTCTAAATTCCCTACGAGCCGGGGGCCCGGGGGGCGGAGGGGGTGCAGGAGGGAGGCAACATCATGAGCTCCGCACCATCAGCCGCAGCCCCTCAGCCAATCACTACGGCGCAGCTGCATCTTTTTGACATGTCAACGGCGCAAGACGGGGGTAGGCTTAGCCCCTGTTTCGTTTCACCACGGCCACCTCGCAGAGGCCTCGCCGAAGATCTCTGGCTAGGAGCATATCCAAGACCGTCCTTTCTTTCATCCCCCCCCCCCCTATCCTAGGAACCCCCTCACAAACTTGTTCAAAAGTTTACTTCTTTAGATGTCCTTCTGCCGAATATGCGGATAGCGGTAGTGTTCTTGAACAGGGCCATCCCATGTAGAGAGGAAAACCTGCAAATCTTACTGGGCGCAAGCGCGTGGAGGCGACGGGAAGATCACCCTTTCTCTCTCTCTCCCCATCAAGGGTGGCATCAAGGGAACCCCGAACGAAGCGAGGCACTGGCTCTCGTTCCTGCATTTTCGTACTAAGAAGAATTCTACATGGCACCGGCGCATGACCCAGACCTTTTTCAGTGAGCCCGTCAAAGATGCTGTGCTCAGGGGTGGGCTGTTCAACCCAGGTCCCCCAGACTCTCTGACCTAGTTCATTTGATCCTTTTGGTTCCTCTTCCGCCTTCCCTGGGGGTTCGCCCAGAAAAAGACAAACACCTCGCTCTTCCTTGCGTCTGACTTCCCGTTCTCGCTCTCGTCAGTCTTTCGTTTTGCCTTGTCTGGTCTGACCGTGTCACTCACTCTGCCACCTTACGATCGTTTTTTCTCGCAGCCGCAGCCGCCGGGGCTCTGTATTCCGTCTTTGTTTCGTTTTGACCTCTTCCCTTTCATAACGAACATCCTTTCGCTTCTTATATCAGGGTTCACGATCATCATCATCCAACGCTTTCTCTTCTTGACCTTACACAAGATCCGTCACTCCTCTTAGACCATATACAACACAACACCACAATAAACCATCCAAAATGATCCTCACAACCCTCCTCCCCCTCTCCCTCCTCGCAACCGCCTCCCTCGCCAACCCAATCTTACCCCCCCGCGCCGCCGCCGACGACGCCAACACCACCCTCAACGCAACCTCCATCATCGCCCAAACCGCCCCCAAATCAACCTCGTGCGACGGCGTAACCTCCTTCCCAGAAGAATGCGCAACAGCCTCCCACGTAGCATCCTACCTCCCCCAAGCCTTCCAAAAATACGCAATCTACTCAAAGGGCGAAATGGCCGCCGTCCTCTCCCTCATGGCCTTCGAGACGGGCGACTTCCGCTACAACCGCAACCACTTCCCTTCGCCAGGCCGCCCCGGCCAAGGGACCCGAAACCTCCAGATGGCCGGGTATAATCTCATGTACGCCCTCTCGATCCCGGAACTCGCGAGCAAAGCGACGGAGATTGCGGGCGGCGTCACGGACGGCAACAGCTTGACCGACGACAAGAAGAACGAGATCCTCGACCTCGTCTTGCCTGACGACTACACCTGGGGCTCGGCTGCCTGGTTCCTCGCGACGCAGTGCGACGACGACGTCAAGGAGAACCTCGCGGCTGGCACGGTGAAGGGGTTTACCCTCTACATGGACTGCATCGGCACGTCGGGCACCGACGACCGCGTCGAGTACTGGTCCAGGGCCAAGGGTGCTTTCGGGGTGGCATAAACTGATATCGATATTTGGAGCTGGACTCTGAGTATCCTTCTTCTTCATCTTCAAATTTCTTCAACTTCTTGTATATACCATTTCAGTCTGGGTCGGATAATCGGATAGGGGTATGAATCAATATGAACATATCACAAGTATGAAATGAAAAGTATCATCAATAAACATGTTCGAGCGGCAAAGTGACTGAGCGAAATCGCGGCTCTACAAGGGTAGAGCTCCCTTAAGTTCATTGCTGTAAAGTTATGTTCGGGTCGCAAATACGACACACAAACTATGTACGCCTAAAGGTGGTCTTGCGGGTAAACGGATGCCTCGAGTGTGTTCTCAGCCATCCTGGATCACCAACCTTTAGAAGTGAATAATCCCCCCTGGGCTTCCCGCCCAGTCGCTTGCCCACCGAAATACAGATACAGTACAAGTCCAACACCCAAAGGTGAGGAGAGGTCGAAAAGGAATACACAAAATAAATACACACTAATGTACGTAGGAAAGTAAGCTGTCGAATGAGAGTTGTGAAGAAAGACTTGTTGCTGTTGGGTCGGGCGTTTGATTTGTTGTTTTCATCTTTTTTCTTTCTTTTTTCGCATGTAAAGTCTGCTGTTTCTTTTAGTTCGAAATTCGGAACACGTATCATAGCTGGGATGTCAGGCAAGGCGACAAAGTGATGTTATTAAAACGTCCTATAGAATCTAAGTTATAATCGGTACTCTCAACAGCAAGGCGCGTGGTAGAATAGCGGGCAGCAGTTGCAGTGGATGTCCCAGAGGGAGGCGGAGGTGGAGGAGAAGTCTTGTGACGACGAGGACGCTTGCCTATGCCACCTGCGCAGATACCCGTCCCCATGATCTTGTCTGCCGGAACAAACACGAGGGGTTCTCCGCTCCCGCTCGTCGCCTTCAGCACGCCTGCCGCATCCGTGACGTAGGGCCGGCACTGAACGACCTCGAGGATCAGCTTGCAAGGCCGGAAACCCGTGTCTTCCTGGGCCAGAGACACGCTGTAGGTTTTGTTCGTGCCGACGTTGGAGTAGACGCTGACAACCTGCCCGTCATCGTAGCCCTTGCGCATGGCAATGGTGTGGTCGTCCGTGTGGATGGGCTGGGACTTGTAGAAGAGGTACCCGCCGTCCAGCGCCGCCAACGTCGAGCGCAGGGACACGAACTTGGAGATCCAGCGGTACAGCTCCGGCTGCGTGTTGAACCCCGTCTGCCACAGCGCTTCGCGATTGTACGGTGTCTCGCCACCGCTGAACCCCTGCTCCAGACCCTGATAGATGATGGGGATTCCGTCCATGAGCAGGCTGAAGGTCAGCGCATTCTTGAGGAGAGTGCGGTCCGAAGTGTGGTTCAGGAAGCGAGGCTGGTCGTGGTTCTCGAGGAAGCCCCCGTACAGCGTCAGGTCACGCGCCGTCGCGATGAGCGTCTTGATGCCATTGGAGAGGTTCCAGATGCTACCCGTGGTCGACTGGAAGGCCTGGGTAAGCCAGTAGTACACGGGGTAGTTCATAACACCGCTCATGACGTCCTGGTACGGGGCCACGTAGACTGGATCGCCGTGGAAGACCTCGCCAAAGGCGGCGACACCGGCTGAAGCCTCGAAAGCTGGCCAGAAGGACGGCTCGACGTGCTTTGCGCTGTCGAGTCGCAGGCCATCGAAGCCGAAGCGACGGACCTCGCGCTTGATCCAGGCATTGAAAACCCGGCGCACGCGGGGGTCCTCGGTGCGAAGATCCGGCAACGAAGCGGCGTCGGTTCCCTGCCAACATCTCTCAACCGAGTCCTGGTTGGAATAGTCGATGACGCAAGGCGGCGTGTGGTAGGCCGAGGCGTTGGAAAAGGGGCGGTAGATGGAGTAGTCGACCGTGGTGCCGGGACCGAGCCAGGCCATGTGGTTCGTGACAACGTCGGCCATGAGGTACATGCCGCGGGCGTGGATGGCATTGGCGAGGAAGATGAGATCCTCCGCAGTACCGAAGCGAGGGTTGACCTCCCAGATTTCCTGTGCCCAGTAGCCGTGGTACGATTCGCTAGTGTTGTGTTAGTTGATGTTTGTTCTCATGGGCATCATTCTCATCAAGTGCTCTCTCTCTTGGGTTTCCCGTGAACCCTCATGACAACACCACTCCCCGTACCTGCTCAACTCATAATGACTGCAAAGCCAAAGGAATCACTCACCCGTCACGAGATTTGCCCTGGACATTCTTCACAAAGGGCGAAATCCAGATAGCCGTCGCCCCGAGACCCTGAATGTAATCCAACTGCTGCGCAATGCCCAACCACGAACCACCACAGTACGTTTGATCCGACATTTCGCACCGAGCCGTCGTC